TGCTGCAAAAAGCAAGAGAGTTCACCACCAGCATCACCTGCGACGGCAGCGACTGCTGCAATCACTACTYTCACGTCTGAAGGGGCAGAATCAGGGCCTGCGGTGGGGGAGGGGCCAGAGGGGCCTGAGGCCGCACTGATAGCGTCCTCTGGTTTCCTGTTGTGACTCAGTGTTACACCGAGAGCAACACGCTGTCTGAGGGTGTGAAAGAACTGATGCCAAGAATGTGTCTGTTTGTTAGAAAAATATCTCCTGAACCAGTGGATGYATTTTAATGAAACTAACAGTTGATTTTCCTTCTATAACCCAATTAAAYATGGCTGCCACAGTCAGCAGACCAAACAGAAATACAGATGTTAACATCTGCGTATGTTAAAATCCATCTGGCGTGGGAGCTGACAGTCGTATACGACATGTGCCCCGAGAAATCTGCATTAGACTGAGCAATCTGTACATTTTTAAAGAGATCAATGATTAGTTGTAACATTAGACTTTATTTGATAAATAAATATTTTAACTGTAAAATAAAAACTGTAAAAAATACTGTAGGCTGTTAAGTTTTTATAATTTTTAAACTAAGTTTAAAAATATATTACACGGACGGAGCCATTTTATTTACATGCAAAGCATTCTGGGTAAATGATGACGTGGGTAAGTCCTCGGTGCGAGGCTGCTAGCGAGCTATATCCACCCTGAAGCTTTAGCCCCGATGCTATCACCATATATATGTATTAGCTCAGCGCTACACATTCTCCTCTTGTCACTGAGGTCCTCCATCCACATGACAGAGAGGGGAACACAAAAATGACTCAGCCTGCAACTGAAAATATGGATGGAGGACCTCAGTTTAGTTTGTTTGTCGAGCTAGCACCGAGCTAATACATATAAGGCAATATAGCGTCGAGGCTAGCACAAAGGCTAACAGGCTAAGCTGAGGTTCTTCTTCCATGAAGCAGCTCTGTTGTCCTCCATCCACATTTTCAGTTCCAGGCTGAGTCATTTCTACCTTCTCCTCTCTGTCAGAGTCGATCATCAGATATTGTCCAAGATTAACCTTCAGGGTGGATATAGCTCGCTCACAC